GGCAGAGGGGAAGGTTTTAATAGTTAAGTGAAAATGTTGAGTTTGAAAAATGTTTGTCCCCTGAGTAAACACCCATCACGTTAAGCAAATGATCAAAGCTGATAAAAATGGCAACTATATTTCCCAAGAAGAATGAGGGGGGGTGGGGGTGGGGTGGAAATTACTTTGTTCAAGATGCTCCAGAAACCCTCCTATTTTTGGTTAAAAAAGGAAGTAAATCTTTTCAGAGAATTACTTCCTACCACCACCAAGCAAGGGCCAGTGGCTTGTGAGCTGAACTGACTAATTGATACCACAAGCAGCAGGCAATGTCCCATATGGACCAGTGACAGATGGTTGGCTAGTAGCTTTCACAGCTATCTGCTGACACCAGAATAAAAGCAAGTCTTGAGCCCATCTCAGGCCTAAGGGAGATAGATGCTGCTCAGCAGTCAATGCCTGCAATGCCAGCTTTCCCCACACTGAACAGCTTCTGCCCCATATGCACCACCCTCCGCTTCTCCAAGCCTTCGGCCTCTCCTCTCACTCCGCACGCAGGACAGGCTCCTTGTCGTGCCTCCCTGCTCAGCCAAATGTTAATCTCCTGGTGAGGCTTTACAGAGCAGAAATCCAGCGACTAAATGCAGAGATCCAGCCTCTGGCTTCCTGAAACACAGGTCAAGAGGTTGAGCAAGTACTCTGGAAGTATCATTATACTCTTGGCTGGTCCTCGCGCTTTCCTCGACAGCTGCTTTGACCACTGTCTGAGTCAGGATACCAGGCCAGATACACCTTGATCTAATCTAGCACAGGTGCTCTTACATCTAAACCCCAGCCTTGTGCATCCCTGCACTTAGCTCCTCTTTGCCCAACCTGTGACAGTTCTGTCCTCCAATACGTCCCCTCACCAACCTCACTCCCAAATAAAACATGACTTAAGACAATAATATCAAGCAAGTCTCTACTGACCCCATGCAAACTCTCACTTTTTTTTTTAAAGGTTTCGAACTTGACCACTTGATCAAACACATTTAGATTATGGGGGAAAAGGGAATATTAAAAAAAATAAAGAAAAATCACCTCTAACCTAGGCACTCACTCTTGAAAAGCATCACCCCCCAGCTCTTCGACACCAGAACTTCAAAGAACAGATGAAATAGTTTACATCAAGAAAACGGCATTTTTCTCAGAGTTGCTCACAGCAAAGACTGAAGCAGAGAGCTGACCGCGTCCAGAAAATACTACCTAAAACAGATGCCTGGAACATAATCTCTCATCCCAAACAGTTACAGAGTTTAGCAGAGTTACAAGCAACTGAAAACAGTACTTCCTGATAAAAAGTGTCAAGCTGTCTTAAAAGGCACAGAGTACAAAGGCATAAAACAGAAAGCATCATGGTGTCTGCGCCTACTCCTGCTGTAACTCACACCCATGTGTACAACCTCACCCGGCGCTGGACAAGAGCCTGCCCAAATCATCGCTCTAAAGAGAGGGAAATACTCAAGGGAGCACTGGTTAAACATTTTGCTTTTCCAAATTTTCCAATAAACATCTCTCAAACAAAAACAGGGAAATCATAACCCCACTTTCCCTCTGCTAAATATTTACATCTAGCAAAAATGCAAAAGAAGCTTTCTTTAGGGGCAGAGGGGAAGGTTTTAATAGTTAAGTGAAAATGTTGAGTTTGAAAAATGTTTGTCCCCTGAGTAAACACCCATCACGTTAAGCAAATGATCAAAGCTGATAAAAATGGCAACTATATTTCCCAAGAAGAATGAGGGGGGGTGGGGGTGGGGTGGAAATTACTTTGTTCAAGATGCTCCAGAAACCCTCCTATTTTTGGTTAAAAAAGGAAGTAAATCTTTTCAGTGAATTACTTCCTACCACCACCAAGCTTCACAGAGAAAAACACGCTAGTGCAAATTAGCAAAGGTCTAGATTTCCACACTCCTGCTGTTTGTTGGCTGTTACGTGAAGGCAGCCAGGGAGACTTTTGAAGAAATCAAGCACTGTTCTTCAGAAAAAGGGCAGAACTGAGCCCTTGACTCTGCGTAACACCACTGTGCATGCCAAGTTATGCTACACAGCATTTTCACCCATGCATTAACATTCAAACTCCATGTAAATCTTGCACTTACTTGTATTAGAAGCTTTACAGTGCTGCAAAAACATTTTAAATATTTCTAATCCTCTTACTAGGTACAGAAGATTTCAAGGTAGATTATGTTTCCCCTCTATCAAACCTACTTAATTTTAAGCTTAAAGTCTCTGGTTTTCTTCACCTCTTTTGTTAACCAGAAAGCAAATCTAGCACCTGTATGGAATAAGCAAACACAGCTGAAACTAAAGCTTGATTGTTTGGTGACAAAGCCATCATTTTTTGGTGTTCAGGGCTCTGATGCCTTGAGACAACGTGGTCCAAGAAAATATCAAAGGACAAGACAAAAGACACTCCTAAAAGAGTAATACGAGAAAGGCAAGGTTTCAAGGTCTCCAGGACAAAGGTTATCTCTGTGTTGTATGTTTGCACGCCGTCTAATACACATGGTCTCAGCACGGAACCACACACCGCATCACGATGACATCACTAAGCAGTAACAGTCTTAGAGATAAAAAAACCACCGACCAGATCATCCAGTCCATTTCCCAGACACTGCCACTCTGTTCCCAGTCGTGTGCTTTCAGGGATTAAATGCCAGTATCTTGAAATATATAAGCAAAACAACTGTGCAGTGAAAGTTTCAGGGTCAGCACCACAGAAATACTACAGGTGCAAACATTGTCACAAGACCTCTGCCCATCTGCTCTGATAACTGCCTTGGCTTCTTAAGCTTTCCCCAAGACAAATGACTGTGCCAGTCTGTGCAACAATTTTGTGGCATGGACAGTCACAGCAGGAAAAAAGTCTATTTTTAGATCTCATCCTCACACACAACTTTGCTTGAACATCAAGTCTCTGTTCACACTCTCTCTTCCACACTGAGTCTTACTACAGCCATCTCATTTGGAGCCCGAGGTAGCTCTGGAAAACATCTTTATATCAAACGACTAGGAAAATAGTGTGCTGTGCTGTTCAAAATAAGACCTTACGTGTGATCCTAGAAAAAGCTTTATTACTGCAGGTTACCACAGAAGAGAGAAGACAGTAAATTAATACATATATAAAGGGCCACATGTAACTCATCCCACTAACATCAGCAGCTGGCTTTCACAGACAATCCAGAGCCTTCACTCTGGTGAACTAACAAAAACCTCCTTTATTTCCATCACCACCCCCCCACAAGCCCCCAGACACAACTGCTTCGCTCTCACGGATACTGCTGGCTCCCCCAGTAATCCCAAATCATTTACCTTGTAAAAAAGAGCATGGCAAATGTAGGGCATCACAAGGTTGCTAGTCCACACGCAACACTGACAAGCCAGCTCAGACTTGCGAAGACGCATGAAATACTCCATGTTATATGGAGTGGCTTCACAATCCATGCTGTCCAGTTAACCCCATAAATAACCAGAGAAATAAGCAATGCATTTTAAGCATAACTGATATTTGGGTACTTTCATTTCAGGGTGCACAACTTGAGACGTGTGATTCTCAGAGTGCTGAACCCTGACAGTACAAAAACCTCAAGTAGCTTCAAAAAATACTAAGATGAGCACCCTAAAACACAGGCCATTTTTTGAAACCAAGACCACTGTGTACGTTTTCTCCCTTCACGTCGTGAGAGAACACTTTTTTTATGTCTCACCTTTACAAGCCTCACCAGTCAGACACGTAGAAACATGAAATAAAAGATAGTGTGATTCATGGGAAAACCCAAACAAACGATCTGCTGTCAAACAGGAGTACGCTTCAGACTCTGCCGCTGCAGCACAGCCATGCCATCCACTGCCAGCTAGCAGAGCAGCACAAACACTGCAAGCTCTCCTTCTGTGGACACTAACATCTCATCACAGCAGGACAACACCTTGCCTTCCAAATACACCTCGTACAAGAGCTTCGACCCCCCTAAACAGACCTCCAGCTAACACATCATACAAAATCCCTGCAGTAACTACAAACACAGCCTGCCTGGTAGAACATCAGCAAAGCATTTAGGGCATAACTGTGACCAGGTAAGCAGTGGAAATTATGAGGAGGGAGTCCCTGTTGTGCAGGCAGCTTCCTAATTTTGCCACCAACAGGCACATTCGTCACCTTTATAAAGGGGCAAAAGGGAGGCAGACAGGTGCAATCAATCACTTTTTTGCATTTAGGTATTCATGGCATGGGTCTAGCAGAAACATAAATTTAATTCTGAGCTCCTACAAATTTCTGAGCTAAACTGCTCCTGTCAAATCTCTTTGCGAGATTCCAGCTCCATTTGTTTGGAGTGACATCCATTACATTAGGCTGTCAAACATCAGACCACAGCTGACAACTTCAGACCCATTGGATCAGGTCCAGCAGAGACGCATGCTGGTATGGGAAGCGCTAACAGAAGCTGCAACTCTGCCCGAGTAACACAATTACTTTGGGAAGAGGTCACCACCTCACTCACCTCACCAAAACAGCTAGTTTCTCTGCTAAACATCCGTATTTCTTACCATAATAAAAAAAATTAAGCAAGAAATACAAGCACTGACAATTTAATCAAAGGGAAAAATAGGTAAACAAAAAACCCTGCCACCCTTCTAAATCACCCATACTGGTAAACAGTGCACGCATTAAAAGCTACAAAAACCAGCAGCATAGTCGCAGATTAGGACAGAATGGTATGTCTTTGCTTACCACTTCAGCAGCCATCAAGACAGTTAATCTATTTGATTAATTTCCCACCACTACAGCTCCTATCCATCTGATGACACGGCAATTTGAAAGAAACCTGACTTGCACTTTCATAAACATATGAAGTCACCATGGAAGTTCCTTGCAAAAGATGTCATTTGAAGAAAGCATGCAACATCTCTACCAATCCCCAACGCTACGTTCACATCTACTGCATCTTCAGAAGAAATAACAACAAAAAAAAAAGGCACGTTACCTGGAGCATCAGTTCACAGTCATCTCTGCCAACAAAGATCATCTCCCGAGGGAGCCGATGGCGAATGCCAGTGCTGCTCACCAAGAACCACGAAGTCACGCTCATTTTGGCGCTTGGCACTTAATCTTTATACATCCTGAACACAAAAAAAAAACAACAGAGCACACAGTGAGCTATTAATGAAGCGTGGAAGTACACCGGTGCGTAGCTGCCGTTCCCAAATTTCCCTGTGCCCTGGGACCCAGCGCTGCTTCTTGCCCTTTGTGTACATCTTCAATTTCTCGTGGCAGCAAGCAGTTGTGAAATGCGTGCCCAGCTGCCATGTGCAGGAGCTCTGCAGCCCCGGAAATATTCCCACAGCAAAGTAAGACCACTGGCCTGAAGAAAGGCTTGTTTAAAAAATGAAGCACGCAGCTGAATCCCATCAATGAAATGATGAAATATAGGGGGGGGAGGGGGGGAAGACATCTTTTCCAGAACATTTCCTCATCACTAGCACTGTGCACGCACCGCAGCCGGAGATTCCCCCGTCACCCCAGACCCGTACCAGCACACCTGCGAGGGGACACAGCCCGGCGGCGGTACTCCATCACAGAACCACAGAATGGCAGGGGTTGGCAGGGACCTCTGTGGATCATCCAGTCCAACCCTCCTGCTGGAGCAGGGTCACCTTCAACAGGCCGAAC